GACTCGACGGCAAACAACAACAACAACAACAACAAAATTATTTTGTAGGTATATATCTGTATTTATCTGTCTCTACCTCTGTTTGGGAAATAAAGAATAAAATCTAACCCAGAAAACCTCTGCACCAATAAAGAAGTCAAAGAAAAGCTGTATTATTGAATGAGCATTCAAGGAGCATGTAAAGGCAATTTGCTAAAGAGCTTGCAGACAGACTGCAACCTGACCTTTGATATAACCGAGTGGATACAACCTACTGCACTCATGTTTTGAGGATAAAATTGCTAGTTTTCTGGTGTCTTTAGGGCCTGAGGTAGATTGGCCATTTGCATCCCTGGGCCCTCTGAGGTTATGCTAACCTCCTTCCAGGAAGCTGGGCAGAAAGGGAGGATGAAAAAGGCGGCTTCCAGGTCCTTGAGTTAACACCTTAGATTTGCATACTTTCCAAACAGACAGAGAATTCACAAAAAGGAGACTGAAAGCTGATTCTTTTCCATTTTTATTTGTCCTCCCAATTTATCTTTCTATCTATAGACCTGTTGTATCCTTTGCATGCCTATCTTCATGTGTTTATCATATATCTACCTAACACTTTGTTGAAAATTTGAGTATTTTAAGGCTCATAATAAAAATGTGAGGTAAACAGTATTTCACAAAAGATAAATCTGAGCTTCCTGAAATTGAAATAAATGTGCCTTTCTTCTAAAGGATGAAGCCAAGGATCAATTACAGTTATATCTGGCTGCAAAGCTGATTGTCTTAATTGAGAGTGTGAAAAATGGTACTTGCCCTTAGTTAGTCTTTTCTGAATTAAATATATGCACATTAGCCATAGGTTTTTTTCCCCCCTCAATGTTTCAGTCTTAAAAAACAACAAAGCTTAATAATAAAGTTGTTCCAGTTAATGGCCTAACCATAGGGTCTTAATCATGTCACACTGTGTGATTTCCTCAGAGCCAGGCAGCGACCATCTCAGAAAATATACTAGATCCATCTACCATGATGCTTATTACCACTCAGGTGTGTTATTTTCACGCTGAAGGTGTTGCTTCATCCACCAATAAAGAAGTCAGTAAAAGCATGCCTCCTGGCTAGTAATATTGTATTGAGGTGAAGGGAATTTAAGTGATGATTAAAATTTTGAATAGTTCAAGGGATGATTAAAATTTCAAAAACATGAATCTGTCTTTTTAAAAAATATTTTTTTTTCTTGAAAATTAAAATGAATTTGCTCTTGAGACAGTACAATTGCATGTATTTATATAACATTTATCATTGCATAAATCTGAAGATAGAAAACAAGACAGACAATACAAAAAGAAAACCAGAAAATAACATGAAAACATTTCACTTTTCTTGAGAAAAGGGAAGGAAATGTCATCAAAACATATTTAGGAGGAAACAGGAATAAAACTTGATTTAATAAAAACCTAATTTTAGACACAGAATTTTAGAGAATGTGATTGGAGCAATGTTTAAATTTATAATTGAAGCAAAATGTATCAAATTATTCAACTGAATTTTAAATTTTAAAAGTATCACACACTACAGAAAAAAAAAAAGCAAGGACATAATACAGTTAGGAGGGAAACTTTTAAGTAAAAGACAAACAATACAAGCTATTTTACATATGAAGGAGCTTTGATGATGTGGTTAAGGCTGCTGACCAGAACTTCGGTGGTTGGAACCCACCAGCCGCTCTGCTCAGGAACATGAGGCAGTCTGCTTTCCTAAAGATTTACAGCCTCGGAAACCCCATGGGGGTCCCTGTGAGTTGGAATTGACTTGATGGTAGTAGTTTGGTTTTTATTATATATGTAACATAATTTACAGAAGTTAATCATTGTTTCTGAAATAGGTGATTAGAAATAAAGTACAGAAAATAAGCAATTCATGCTGATCAGCCTCAGGGCAACATAATCAATTTTCTCAGAATAAGAATAAAAAAAATTTGGTAAATAAGGATTTTATATTCCATTAACTATTCTAATTTTAGGGCTAAAAGGTACAGCACAGACAGTGAAATTCCAAATTAAATATAGAGTTAGGTAAATATTCTCAGAAAAGCACAAAATTAATGTTGATTTAACTTATCTCAGCAGATAGGTTTTTGAAAAGTTTTGGTTCAATCTTAGGGGAAAACTGTTCAGAAAAAGCTTACATAAGGCAGAGTAATCAAATCTCATGTTTGTTTTTTTTTTCCCTCAATTTTTTTTTTTATATTCAGTCGACATCCTTAAGCTTATTTTAGAACAGTTTAGGGGATGGTATTAGTGTTAACATTTCACTTTATGATATAATTATTATAATCATTGTTTGGCCGTTTAAACCTTGATAGCGGCATAAACAAAGGACCTGAAGCACAGAAAACCAGCCATCCATGGAACAATTTTCAAAAAAAAAAAAAAAAAACACTAGTTACGCATTTTAGTTGCCTCGAAAGCTTGCAAACTTAACAACCAGGCGAGAGGAAAGAGATGTTTCATTTTAGCACTTCTTCCAGTAAATGGAGCTAATTGTGCTGATTCTCCTTCCTGGAAACTTCCCAGTTCACCATCCAAGCTATTTATCAATATGCCATCGAAGTGAATAATACTGCTAAATGCTTTTAGATGAAGCTGTGAAGATTTATGAATGTTTTGTACAGACATGCCACAAAGGATTAATTTAAACTTAATTTTAAGCAATTTGTTTTCAGAAAAATGAGGATCAAAAACAACTTACCAATATTCTCTAAGTTTATTTGTACCTGAAAACTTTTTTCCATCCAATTACTTAAGAAAGAGTATGTTCTATGGTTTTATATTATGTGTTTTAACCACCCCCCCCCCAAAAAAAAAGCTGTATTGCCCTATTTATTGACTGATTCCATTTCTAAAAGATATTTAGAAATGCCTTTTTAAATTTTCAAGGTTAAGTTCTCTATTTTAACCCTGAGTGTAATGCAATAGAATAGAATCACGAAATAATAATTCTTATAAGTTTTTCTATTTCCTAAAGGTCGTGGACTTCGTATTTTCTTATGGTGTAATGTGCGTTCCACATTTTAATTTTTAATTAATTGAAAATTGAAATTTCTATTATAATTGCAGCTGTAATTACAATTAGAAAAGTAGTTCTTTTGCATTAAACAAATAGCGTATAAATGCTGAGTAAAGACATTAAGACAGACAAAAGTCCTTCTGTTCACTACTCTTCCATGTCATCTTCCCTAGTCATTTCCTTGCAAACCAAGCCAAACTCACTGCCATTGAGTGGGATCCAACTCATAGTGACCACTCCTTGGGTTTCCGAGGCAGGATCACTCCGGAAGTGCATTGCCCAACCTTCCTTCCCAGGAGTGGCTGGTGTGTTTGAACCGCCAGCCTTCTGGTTAGCGATCAAATGCCTTAGGCTCTACACCACCAGAGCTCCCAGTCACTTCCTTATGTAATGGAAGGTAATGGAATTGTGTGCATCTTTCCAGTTTGTTTATATTTTTTCTGTTTTCAGAATTTAAAAATGAGAACTCTCTATATGTCATGGCGTGACGCAAATATTTTCCCACCTTTGTTGTTGCTATTATTGTTCAGCTTTTCCCATCCTTTTTGTCCTATTTTAAATTTGTTTTACTCTATCCTTCTATTCCTTCATGGCTTCTGAATTTTTTCATTCGCTTAAGAAAATCTTCCCAACTCAATCTATACATAAAACTTAACCTAGACTTTGTTATAGTTGCTTCATTTTAAAATATACCTAAGTTGTTATTTTACACAGACTTTTTGTTGTTAAAACCTACGCTGTATACCACAGTGATTAAGAACACTGAGTGTTGGTTTCTCAACTGCCTTTTCCAATTGAGTTATGACCTCAGGCTAGTCATTCACTGTAATTTGAAATACTAAAGTGTTTCTGAGTGGTTTCATTAGTAAAGCTGTGGAGAAGGATCATCTGTAGTGGAGTAGTTAAAGCGCACATTGCTAACCAAAAGGTCAGCAGTTCAAACCCACCAGCTGGTCTGTGGGAGAACGATGTGGCAGTCTGCTTCTGTGAAGATTACAGCTTTGGAAACCCTATGGGGACAGTTCTACTCTTCCCTATAGGGTTGCTGTGAGCCTAAACTGACTGGATAACAATAGGTAAAAACTGGGGAGGATAATAATACATATTTATATTCATCAGAATTAAATAAGATCATACAAATACATCGAACAGTTCCTGGATTTTAGCAGGCTGTCGGTATACCTCACAATCTTCGTGAATTCCTATAAGACACAGTCCACAACAAGTACAAAGCCCTCAATAACCATTGGTTGAGGTGAATGTGCTGAGCAAAACATTTCCCCCAAGCGATATTGTTGATAAATAGATGAATCATATAGAATTCTTCTTAGCTAAATTTTAATTAAGTAAAATAAAAATATGACATATAGCCTCTAATGAAACATTTATAACTATTTTCCTAAATATAGCCATAAAAGCTCTTTGTTTTCATTCAGTTTTTTTTTTTCCTATTTTCAGACAACGAACAACAAATTTTTGAAGTCCCTGTGTATGTTCAGGTTCTTAATGTCAACGACCACGCTCCTGAGTTTTCTCAGTACTACGAGACGTCCGTTTGTGAAAATGCAGACCACGGTCAGGTAAGAGCCCACAACTAACTGGTAAAGCCTATGCAATGACCTTTGTACACTTATTGCAACTTCTGCTCCATATTCCTCTTATTTTGAAATTAAAAAATAAACAAACTTCATTTTAACTATACTTATTAGTGGCATAAGCAGCTGAGTACTCGGCTGGTAACTGAAAGCTGGGGGTTTGAATCTGACCTGTTCCTCTGTGGGAGAAAGACATGTCTGCTATAGAGATCACAGCCAAGAAAACCTTCCAAGACAGTCAGCTGTTATACGGGTCTGCCATGAACTAATGTCGACTTCACTGAACCTGGGCAACAACAATAATTACATGGTTTTATGTTGTGGGTCCTATACAATAATTAATATTTCTACTTTAACAAAATAAATGTACCTTCTCCTCACTTATCAACATAGTTAGATTCCAAAGACCAGGTTGTTCTGTGAAACTGGTATTACGCAAAAATGGAGCATGATCACATCAGATCACAAAATGGAAGATGACTACATCATCGCATAACTGACAAACTATATCATTACATAACTGCCAAATTAAACCATTGCATAGCTGGCAAATCACTGAGAATCACGGTTTAGGTAAGGATAGGTGTCGAACCTTAGCCTTCACAGCTAGCTACAGTCTCACCTCAGACCTCATCGCTCATTACTACCAGATGAGCAATTTTTACTATGGTAAATGTGAAATGCTGGGTAACGAGGTAATCAATAAGTGAGGAGAAAGTTTAATAATATGTAAACTTTGAGTTTTCTTCTTCTATATTTCACAGACACTTGAAAAATCTCCTGCTAACACTAGGGATTCAGCAATAAATCGATTATACTTTGTCAATACGATAAAGAAAAATGTTGTTCTGTATTTCTATAGAACAATCACATTTTCATTAGTTTTTAATTCCTTATGATGACAAAGGTAAAATATAAGTGTAAATGTGTGGTGGGAACACAATTGGCTGCTTTCTCATAGGTCACAATCACCACATCAAATCTATCAACCTGCTGGGACTCCTCTGCATGATTTCCTGGATATGTGAAAACTTATGAGAGCATGCTCAGTTTGAAATATATTTTCATTACTTTGGGCAATCTACTTCCGTAGTGATACCACCTCGGAAACCCAAGGAGGGGTCACTATGAGTCAGATACAACTCAACGGCAGTGAGTTTGCTTTAGTTTGTTTTAGAATATAATATTTTAAAAAATTATTGAATCAATCTATTTAAATCTAATAGATGATACTTTAAATGCAGTAAAATGCTTCTTGAAGATTCACGTAATTTTGAAATAATCAATGTATCTTATAATTTGCCAATTAATGCATATTCAATTTACTTATAATTTAAAATATATATTTAATGATTATCAGGAACACAAATACATTTTATAGTCTTTACAATTATATATTTCAAATTTAAAGCATAAAACTGACATGGCAAAGCATTTTAAGCGTTTCATATAATATGATTGATTACATTATCCTTTTGGTTAGACAACCTATTTCCAAACTAAAACAAAAGTTTTTATTTACTCTATCTTCTATGAAGATAGAGTAAATAATTATTTTATTTTTTTTAGCATAGTGCCTAGGGCACTTCACTGCTAAACTGAAGGCTAGTAGTTCAAACCCACCAGCCACTCCTTGGGAGGAAGGTTGGGAAATCTACTTCCATAGTGATACTGCCTCGGAAACCCAAGGAGGGGTCGCTATGAGTCGGGTCCAACTCAATGGCACATAACAAGACAACAACAACAACAAAAACAACATATCTTCTATGGGAGCCTTGGTGGTACAGTGTTTAAGTGCTCAGCTGCTGAGTTGTTGGTTTGAACCCACCAGCAGCTCCATAAGAGAAAGATGTGATAATCTGCTTTTATGAAGATTTAAGCTTAGGAAACCCTATGGGGCAATTCTACTGACAGCACACAACAAGAACACCAATCTATAAACTATTTTTCTCTTAATTTCCTGGATGCTAAGGAGCTCTGGTAGCATAGTGCCTAAGACACTTGACTGCTAACCAGAAAGCTGGTGGTTCAAACCCACCAGCCACTCCTCGGAAGGAAGGTTGGGCAATATACTTCTGTAGTGATACTGCCTCGGAAATCCAAGGAGAGGTCCCTATGAGTCAGGGACGACTTGATGGCACATAAGAACAACAAGACACTTACCAACAAAGGTTTATATTCAATGATCTCACTTGGGCTGAGGTTACTGGGCAGATTTGGGAAGGCAAGACATTTTATATAATTGGATGCTTTGGAGACCAGAGCACTATACCTGGTGTGGTAGTTAAGGTCACGTGTCAACTTGGCTGGGCCTGGTTTTGAATGGCTGGGCAGCTGGATGTAGTTATTCCCCATAGTAAGATTGGTAACTAACTCCATGGTGGAATCTACTGGAGCAATTGACTAGCTGCTTTCAGGATATGGGATGCTTCTAGTATGTAAGAAACAACTTGGAGGAAGGTCTCTAGCTTATGGTACACTTGAACCCTGCATATAGCTGAGTCATTGTTCAGTAGCCTGCCATGTTGTCTGTCAATCTTGGGACTCTTAGTAGACTTGAATCAATGGCTGCCATGTTGTTTGGTAATATAGAGACTATGTCTTTTTACTTATCAACCTTGGGTTTGTCACCCTCAGTAGTCAGAAACTGCCTGAGTGAAGAAAACCTCCAGTTTCTGTGGGCCAGGAGCAAGAGGCAGAGCTGAAGCCCAAGGTCAAGGGGCTTTCACCCAGCTCTTAGAGCCTGGCACTTTGAACTTGGACTTCTAGTCTCCCAAACTGTAAGAGAATAAGCTGTTTATTAAAGCCACCCCATTTGTAATATATTCCTATCAGAATGGCACTAGGTAACCAAAACACCTGGGTAATAAATAGTTCTAGGACTATGCCACCTGAGTCCAATATGTCAGTGGGAATCGATATGGCTACAACCTCAGAAAGTTGAGATGTATATTGCTTATCAGTCATGAAAGCAGAAATGTCACATATACAGTTGTTATTTGTTGTTATGTGCCGTCAAGTCGGCCCCGACTCATAGCGACCCCTCCTTGGGTTTCCGAGGCAGTATCACTACGGAAGTAGGATTGCCCAACCTTCCTTCCGAGGAGTGGTTGGTGGGTTTGAACCACCAGCCTTCTGGTTAACAGTCAAGTGCTTTTAGCCACTATGCTACCAAAGCTCCTTATATATGATTAGATATACCAATATGAAGTTCAGGGGAGAAGCCCATGCTGGGGATATAAATTCAGATGGTCAGTTTTCAATATGGTGTTTGAAACCCTGAAGCTTGGTGTGAACACCAAGAGTGAGTATGGACAGAAAAGAGAAGGCTGAAGACTAACAAAAGCCTGGATAGCCCGGGCTAAGTGACCTGTTGTTTGTTTTTTGGTGTGTGGAGGGTGGGCACGAGCAAATGGACCACATGCGGAGCAAAGCAGGAGTTTGTGAGGATTTAGAAACCGATGACAAGAGCTGCTATCTGGCTTTTGTGTCACAGGTCAGGTAAAACATGAAAGAAAAGCACCTAATGAATTTAAAAACAGAGCTTCTCAACTTTCTAAAATATTTGGACTTCAAAAGGCTGAAACTTCAGCAAAGAAGACAATAAAATAAGAATAGGAAAGGACACATGACAGAGACCTGAGATGTATCAATATTTAGGGATCAGGTAAAGGAAAAGATTACTGTGAGGAAGACTGAGGGCGCATGATCAGCGAGCTAACAAGGAAACAATGAGACTGTAGACGTGGACATGTATGGAGACTGCACTTTTTGAAAAAGGAAGTTTCCATACCTTTAATTGTCATGATTTCAGGAAAAATAATTCTCACTTTTCACCTTCTGGTCAAATGCACTCTTTTTTTAAAAAAGACACTGTACAAATAAATCACAGATATGATAAAGGAATAGTGAAAAAGATATTTATTAAAATTTAAATAGAATGTAAACACAATTGTTGTTAGGTGTCTTCCAGAGGGTTCCAATTCATAGCAACTCCATGTACAACAAAAGAAACACTGGCCAGTCATGCACCATCCTAACAATTACTGCTTGGCTCGGGCCCGTGGTGGCAGCTAATGTATCAATCCATTTGTTGAAAATCTTCCTCTATTTCACTGACTCATAAACCTAGAAGTACATATTTTATTTCATAGCTTTTCTGTGTTAAAAGTATGAAAATACCTATTCCAAATTTCAAAAACAATTTCTAGTATGTAAGAAACTTTCTCTAATAAGTACTGGATTATTATTCTGGTCCTTGAATTCCTATCGTCAAAAAGAAGTGCTTAAGAAGTTTTTGAAATATTTGGCAACTCGTATTTTTGTGGAAGACAGAGTAGCTACTTTTTTTGATCCATGACTGCAAAAAATTTAATTTTTAGATATATAAACATCAAATAGAATGATAAATCTACTTTAAAAAAATGCACTGTATCTATTTCCCTCCAGTTGTATTGGAATACATGCTATCATCTATATTTTCCCATTTACAAGATAGATCAAGTAAATTTTGGTGGAATACTATAAAATATAAAAACATACAGTCACATTTATTTGTTAGAGAAGAAGGATGGTCCAGATTATTGTCAAAAAATATTATATGATGAAGTCCTTCTTCTTAAATGACCAATAGGGTGATGACACCATATTTTCTCTTTGTCCTTGGAATTATGTTGTTCAATCACTGACTCTTGATTTTACAAAATTTCATGCATATTCACTTAAAGATTCAAATTCTGAGATTTTGGTTAAATGATAAATTTCATCATCATCTTGAGTCAAAAGTGCTGCTTTCTACTGATTCATCTAATAATTGTGACATGTCTTCCTCTGTCAATTTATTTTCTTTGTTATATAAACAGGAAGTGAAAAATGAAATTTTCAACAGCAACCAATGAAATTTAAAATCAGACTAGAGAGATAGTCTACTAACCATCTTTATATCTTCTTAAAAGTAATTTAATACCTTGTGCAACACAACTGAA